CACACACACACACACACACACACACACACACACACACACACACACACACACACACACACACACACACACACACACAGCTCTCCACAGAAATCCCAAAAACCTGCAGTAATCCGCACACGTAACAGGTTTAAAGTCAGGAGTGTGCAGCGACAACGCCTCCACAGACCTCTGCAGTCTGTCTGCTGACTCCCGGGTCACTCTCTGTGTTTTCTCCAAGAGGAGACTTTTTTTTAAAGGGGGTGGGGTGTATGCTTTTGCACACACAAACACACACATTAGGCATTAATTAGTCTTGCTGTCCTGGTTTCACCTTCTCTGCGCAGCCGCTCAGCTCTGCAGACAGGCGGCGTGGCGAACACGCAGGACTACAAAACACATTAAACCAGATCTGATGAGTCCAACAAAATGTGCAGGAAAGCTCAGTCCTCACAAGAAAAACGTCTTCATGACATGTGCATGCATGTGCTAATTAAATTAGAAAAAACACGCAGAAAATATTTCACACGTTATTAAAAAACAACGACACATGCTGAACAGAGTGCTGTGTTATGCTAATCAGAGGCTTTCAAGTTAATTTAATTTACCGCTGATATAAATGTGGAGCGGTCTGCATGAACGGAGCGTGTCAGAGATGTCACTCACATTTCACGCTCGACCACAAGAGCGAGCTCGTCTAAAAATATCAACCGAACTGCCAGCGTCATGTGTGTCTGCCTGCAGACTTAGAGTGCAAACAAAACACACAAAATATTTACAGCTTTAAATTCAGTCGGTGCGTGTTCACACCGACTGTAATCCAGATTCAGCGCTGTCTGGATGAGGGAGGGTTTAACAGGGTTACTATTTTTAATTCATCATTTTTGAAGTTTGAACAATGAAAAAATAAAATGTCTAAAGAACTAGAATACAGCTCGACACCGTTTCAGACTTAAAGGATGAGAAAAGGTAAATAATATTTTAACTTAAAAAATGGATAGAAGGCAGCACTTCCTGCTCTTTAACTTACAGAAAACTTATTTTGTTCTGAGGCATAATTTTGACCGGGAGGTTATTTTAGCACAACTGTGAAATACCTCAGATATTTAGATGGGAAAACATGTTGAATACAAGTTTGTAAGACTGGAACTCAGAGGTGAGTATTTAGCTATTTCACTATAACCTTGAAAATCATTAGTGGACCACTTAACTTTCGCTAATTTCGATTGTCCAACTTTAAGTCCGCTAACAGTTAACTAAGTTCACACTGCAGGTCTTGAACGTTCACGTTACATTTTAAATGCAACCTTCACCAGACTACAGTGTGAACGCTCCATGACACTGACGTGACCCGCATACGCAGAGAAGACGTGACGTCACATTCAGCTGGCTGTTTGTTTATAGAGTTAGCTAAACATGTAGCATATCGATTCTGAAGTTATTGTTCTTTCAGAGCTGATTATCTGACATGCTTGTTTAGTTCAGTGTTTACATCTGAACCTGCCTCTGACCGTACGCTCCGGTGAAGCATTTTATTTTTGGAACGTAGTGCTAAGAAGTAAAGTATCGAACTTTAGGATCGATACGGTCCATGTCCGAAGGTGGACGTTACTATCAAATGTTTCTGTGGATTTCCGGTCAACAAGGACGTGGAGAATGAAAAGAAAAAAAGACGAAGCAATTGGTGTCGTGTGGAGCTACAGATTTAAACAACATGACTCGAGGTTAGTGTCTTTATCGATCCTTCAACCCCGCCTGATGAAAAAGTCTGATGTAATGCAACACTGAAAACGTCAGATTTGTGTCCAGTTTAGTACCACATACTGAAGAGGCCGGCCTGGGGTGGATTGGAAAAATTCAGATTTGTCACGTTCAGACTGTCATAAAAAATCAGATGTGGGTCACATTTGTCTGCAGTGTGAATGTAGTCTTTAGCTGCAAGGAGATAGACATTTGACACAGACTCAGTTAGTTAGCGATTAGCTGTTAGTGTTAGCTTTCACAAATATCATTAAGTTGACTAGCATTAGCATCTGCTAATATATTACACATTTAGTGGTTTAGCGTTTGTTAGCTCCTTTTTAAGTTTTTCTTACGTTTAACAGTTTTGTTTTCTGTATTTAGCAGTTTAGCTTTCACTTTTTTAAATTAGCACTTTGACATTAGCTTGCACTCATTTTTTCAAACATGTTTAGCAGTTTAGCATTAGCTTCTGCTAGTTTTTTTTACATGCTTATGGGTTCTGTTAATTATGTTTAGTGAACTAGATTCAGTTTCTGCTTTTTTATGTTAAATAGTTTAGCATTAGCAAAGCTATAATTTTTGCATGAAATTTATTACGCTAACGTTTTGGTTAGCTCTGCCCACCACTGCTACAACTAAACTCTCTTTAAATGTAAAAAATATCTATTATATGATAACTTGTCAGCTAAGATGAAAGTTAAGATATTTCAAAATGTTTATTAAATTGGAGGAAACTCCTTATTGCTAATTGACAATAATTAAAAGTGTCGCTTTTTGCCTTTAGTTGGCCTGTAGGAAAGAGACTGCAGCTGCAGGTATCACAATCTGACTGCAGTCAGAGCTTCCAGCAGCTTTTAAAGCCCTGCTTATAGTTCCTGTTCTGTTTTGTGTTATTTGGCTGTTTGCACGTTCATCCATGGCAATAAAAAAAAACAACATCAATCTAAGAGATGTAGCTAAACCAGACTGGAGTGGGTGCAGTGATAAACAGAAAGGCTGCGCCACGGTTTGGCTGCTGTGTCGAGGCTGTCGTTAACACCCCATGTTAATGACGGGAGCTGTCAAATGGACCACAGCTATAAAACCGACGGAGACACAGTTGCCAAGGTAGGATGCTATTAATATCAAGACAAGGAGTTAAATCAATACGTCAAAAGCGACAAGCACAAAGGATGGGGGGCAGCGAGTGCCTCTTCAAAATGGCAACCTGAAACCTGCAAAGTTTGGACGCACAGTTGAAGTTTTCAACCTTTAGCTCTAAAACACAAAAGCAAATCGGTGAGAAGAGCTGCTGCAACAAAGAGAAGAAAATGAAGCTTCAAAGGTTTGCAAAGTTGTTTTTCACAAACTCGCCATGAAGGATTTGGCAACAGTTTTACGCAGGACGCAACTTGGGTTCCGAACCCCCGACCTCAGGATCACGAGCTCATTGATCTGCTGTGATTCCTCAGAGGTTACTCTGCTGAACGTAAACAATCAAAATGGTAGTTTTGAAGCAGACTCTTTTGGAGTGACGCCATTACGTAACCCTGAACGTCAAGTAAAACTGAGATTGTTTGCGTCCACCGACTTTAAATAAAGCAGCAAAGTGTGGTGACGAGGGGAGTAACTTTCAGAAGGTACAGCTTGTTGTTTTCAGGGGTCTTACCTGCTTCTCTAAGCATTCCTTGGCAGAGAGAAGCGGTTTGGGGGACGGAGCCCGCTCACACACGCAGCCCTCCAACAGGTAGAGTCCGGAGGGGCGCGAGCTGGAGTCGCTCTCGAAGTAAAACAGCATGTTCTGCAGCAGCGAGAACCACTTGGCGTGCCATTTGGTGTTGTCCGAGCTCTTCTTGAAGAGGAAGCCTCGCCTCGTGCCGTCCTTCTTGGCCAGGAGCGCCAGATATGTGATGTGCCCATCGTTCAGTCTCATCCCCTTCTGCATGCTGGCGAGCGCGGGGTGGCTTCGCCTGCGGGATCCTCACATCCTCTCTCCTCCCCGCTCCCTAAAAACTCCGAAACCCAGCAGTCACACTTGGTGGGCAGCAGCAGCAGCCCGCTGCCGAGAGCCCATCTCCACCACGCGCACACTGACGGAGCGGCTGACGGTTCAGCTGCTGCTGCTGGGAGCTCCGCTGCGGGCGAGCTGCACACACACACACACACACACAGCGTGTCAGAGAGGAGGCTTCATGAGCACGATGAGGACCCAACTGTCGGTGTCCACGGAGCACGCGTTGGCGTCCCCCCACTCCCCCTCCCACCACGAGGAAGGGGATGCGCAGTCACATGATCTGTCCCCCGGAGCGGCGGTTTCAGCACTTTGGACAGAGACAACACGGTCCTCGACCCACTTTCAGTGGAGAAACATTCAGAGGTCTGAGGGAATAAAATATAAATTAAATAAGTCTTTGAAAAGTGTCAGATGTCAGAACTTAATGTCTGGTCGAATTAACAACGTCATATAAAAAAATGTTACCAAAATGTTAGACAAGCAGAGGAGTAAAAGTGCTTGTTTTCACTTTATAATTAAACAAGAGACTTAAAGAACAACCATCATTTTTCTGCATATTAGGATAAATTTGATGCTCTGCCTCTACTGCCACTGTCTTTGGGCATTTTCCCTTCAGTTTTGTTTTCAGCATGTTCTGAAGTGACCTCTGAAGTGTTTCAGGCAAAAACGTCTGCTCGTGTTCAGCCAAATGCTTCAGAACATTTTGGACAGTGCTTCACAGTGCAGATGGACAATGATCCAAAGCCTACTGTGAAAGGAACCGAAGAGTTTTGTAAAACAAAGAAGTGGAGTGTTGGCAACGGCCAAGTCAATCACCGGACCTGAATCCAATTGAGCATTTTCTCTTGTTGAAGATAGAACTGAAGAGAAAATGCCACAAAAACAAGCACCCAATATTATGTACTATCATCATCATCATCATTTATTTATAAATCACAATAAAACCAATGTGCTGTACAGGAACGTAAAATAAAAACAATGAAGTACAGAAATAAAATAAACAATAAAATCAAACAAAAATAAAGGCTGGCCTAATGATCGTGTTCTTCAGGCTCTAATATCTGTTCAAACATGAGTTTTTAACAGAGACTCATTTAGAGACCCAGCAGACCTCACAGACAGTGGGAGGTTGTTCCAGAGCCGAGGTCCTGCAGCTGAAAAGGCGCTGTCTCCCCTGGTCACAAGCCGAGACCTGGGAACAACTAAAAGCTTTTGATTTACAGATCTTAATGATCTATTTGGTATGTGAGGCTGTAAAAGCTCAGTAAGATAACGAGGTGCCAAACCATTTAGACATTTAAAAACTAAAAAAAATAATCTTAAAAATAATTCTAAAAGAAACAGGCAACCAGTGAAGAGAATACAAGATCAGAGTGATGTGTTCATGGCGTCTTGTCCCTGTTAATAAATGGGCAACTGTAGACAACCAACCAAAGACTGATCAATCCCACAATAAAGCGAGTTGCAGTAGTCCAGTGTGGAAGTGATAAAAACATGAATAACCCTCTCAAGGGCATTATGAGACAGATAATCCTTGACTTTACTTATAAGTCTTTGATGATAAAAGCTAGACTGGACTACTGCACTGTTATGTTCATTAAATTTAAAATCAAAGTCCAAAATCACCCCAAGATTTCTAACAGACACACGGCCAGACGAAGAGTCCAGTGGTCCAACAGCACTACTGCATCCTGTCAGTTTATCAGAGTTACCAAATAAAATGACTTCTGTCTTTTTATCGTTAAGATACAGAAAGTTCAGGTCCATCCATGCGCTCACATCTTTTAAGCATTCGAGTAGCCTATTTACAGACTGGGATCTGCTAGATCTTAATAAAAGACAGACCTAAATAACATCAGCATAAAAATGGTATGACATTATTTTTGCGAAAAAATAGATCCCAGGGTTAGCAAGTACAATGAAAATAAAAAGGGCCCTAATATGGAGCCATGAGGTACCTCATACTGAAGGTGAGCAACAGACAAAAAACGCTGTCCCAACTGGACCGAGAAGCTTCTGTTAGATAAGTAGAACCTAAACCATTTTAAAACTGTACCTTTCATACCAACAGAAGTCTCCAGCTTTAATGTCATGATCTACTGTATCAAATGCAGCAGTAAGATCAAGAATTAAAACCGTAGAATCACCAGAACCAGCAGGTAAAAATAAATGATCGCACACCCTGAGAAGTGCAGTTTCAGTGCTGCGACAAGACTTAAAACCAGACTAAAACTTCTTATAAAAATCAAGACATAGTTAGTCATGTAGCTGAATTAAAACAACCTTCTCTAAAGGTTTTGAAAGAAAGGGCAATTTAGAAATTGGCCTCATTGAACACGTGAGCATTGTGGTGGCCCTCAAAGGGCCAGTTGTAATCAACTAATACATTTTGTGTTTAGCTTTGAATAAAAACACAAAACGTCAGGTTCCTCGCCTGATTGGCTGAGCAGCACTAACAATAATTGAGCTCTACGTGGTGTTTCCTACATGGAAACAGAGTTTTAACACGTTCTCTTATAAACACTGAAAAGTACTGTACAAATGACTAAATCTGAAATACAGAAACACTATTAAAAGCAGAGGTCTATGAAGTACTTGAAAAAATTAACTAAGTAAAAGTAAAATTGCATGAACAGAAAAGGGCTTTGGTAAAAATACTTTTCACTGATGAGAAAACTACTAAAGTAATAAAACTGTTCACAAAAATTGGGAAAGTAAAAGTAGTTTTACACACTCTAATAAATAAAATTGTTGAATTTACTGAACCAAACTGGCTTCACTAAGCCAGGTTGAGTAAATTGAGCAACATATGTATATTCTTTGCTCAGTTTACTCTGACTAATCTTAGTGGAACCAGTTGACATGACTTTAATGAGTAAATTCAACACTTCATTTATTTAGAGCACATAAACATCTTCTTTCATGATGAGTTGGAACATATTTAATTTTGTAACAAGTAACTAGGTGTTAAATTTTAAAGTAAAGAAGAGTAACATTTTAGCTTTAAAATGTAATGAAGTAAAAGTAGCTGTTTAAAAAAATAGTTGGAAAAATTACAAATCCTCAAAAAAATTACTTAAGTACTGTAACAAAGTAAATGTACTTAATTACTATAAACCTCTGATTAAAAGTAAACTATTGAGTACCTGCCATCATAAATTCTGAACAGAGGCAGTTGTTCCTTCCTCCTTCCGACAAGGAACTCCCACTGGACAAATTTTAACAAGTAACATCCCAGTAGTATATTCACCAGCTGCTAACAACTTTTGACTCTGTGCACTCCAACCTAGTAGTCATTTCTGAAGTAAAATAATCAACATGCATTATGGGAGCTGTAGTTTTTGGTCAACGCTGGCTTTAAAGCAGCTTATTTTAAGACAGAAAAAACATTTTTGAAGCTCTCGCAGACCGCGTGAAGTGCCTTGGTGGGCCACATTTGGCCAATGGGCCTTGGCTTTGACATGAGGCCTGCCAGAGCACCACGAAACCCAACGTTCAGTGACGTGATTTTAAGACTTCAGGCTGTAATCGACTGCAAAGGATTTGCAACCAAATAAAAAGTGAGTTTGTTCCATTTTTTCCCCCCTTAAAAAGTAGGAGGCACATATACAAACTGCTTTTAAATACACACTGTTCACATTTGAAGGTAAATACCATCAAATTAAAGCTGAAAGTCTGCGTTTTAAGTGCATGCAGTGAGCTGGTGGATTTTTCTCCAGGGGGGGCTACAACTCCAAAATACATATCTCAGAAAGAAATCAAACGTACTAAGTTGTATCACGCCAGTGTATTTATTAAACAAATGAAAATAATAAAACAGCATTGCAATGTCATGAATTGTGCTATTTTTTTGTACATAAATTTTGCTCTTCTTTTACTGAGAAGCAAATTTCTTCATGACTCTGGTTAAAGTCAGGGATGTTTTAATAAGATTCTTCTCAATAGAGAGCATGGTCAGTGCAGTGAGCTGTGATGTTGTACCTGAGGAAAGTCTGGATTCTCTTCAGTGTTGAGAAGCTCCTCTCAGATTCAGCTGTGGTCAGAGGAGATGTGATGAGAATCTTCAGCAGAGTCACAGTCTCTGAAGGTGTCCTGCAGATTGTTCTCCATGAAGAGCTGATCCTGAACTACATCAGACTTCTTAGTCCTGTTCAATACTGGGTGAGCCTCCATGGTCTTCAGAGCTGCTTCAGAAAATTGTCTGTGATCCTGCAGGAACCTGTCTGCCTGCAGCAGTGTAGCTCTGATCAGATACATGTGAATGGCTCAAGATGGTGTCATAAACTGTATTTCCATCAAGGCTTTTTGATGCGCATTTAAAAGTGTCGCATTAAAAATATGAAAAAAAAAGGCGGATGGGAACAGCAAAATTCGGGAAAAAAAATCCTCAATTCGCTAAAAAGTTTTTACCCTCGCTTGAGGTGGTTTTTGCACGATTCGCAAAGTAGTTAATGCGCAAAACAGGAGATGGAAACACTTTTGCCGAATAAATTCTGACGTAGCGCATATTTACCTCACGTAGCTGATCAGCTGTTCCCCAGTACCGGTACCAGTTTCGGGTCGGCTGCAGCCGCGACTGGCAGCTAGGGCTGCCACGATTAATCAATTAATCGACGACTAATCGATTATTAAAATAATCGATGACTAATTTAATAATCGATTAATCGTTTTCTCTTTTTTGTTGTTGTTTTTTCTTTGTTTTTCTCTCCAAACTGCTTTGACACCTTCCACTGCCACATCTGCCTTTCTGTCCTTGACACACATGC